CCTGGCCGGGAATTCTCTTCTACTCCACGGGAAAGGTCTCGGGGTGACGACCTTGGAACCTTTTCTCGTCTCCCTTTCTACAGGTTGGCTGAGGGAAAAGGAGGACGCTCCTTGTTCCTTCCCCAACTTCCGATCACCCTTCCCTCTGGTCATGGGGACCTCTCAGTCCAAACCCCCTCGAAACACACCCTTAGGGTGTCTCCTCACCAATTTTTTGACCCTTGGTCTTTCTGGCTACATCAGACCAAAGAAGCTCTACCTGGCCACAATATAAACTCGACAATGGCTCTCAGTGGCCCGAAAACAGCACTTTCAATTCCAATATCCTTTGAGACCTAGATAATTTTTGCCACCGGACAGAAAAAGCTTTTGAAATCCCTACTAACAGGTTTTATTTCTCCTCCGCTCCCACCCCTCACTTTACTGCTCATGTTCCACTCATCAGATCCTCCTCGCAAAGTCCTCTCCACCCTCTCAAATTGGTCCTCAGCCCCTTTCTCTGTTTTCTGACTCTTTTGACCCAGCTGATCATTCATCTCCACCTCTCCTGCTCCCGCTGCCCCCCTTACAACCCTGCTGTAGAATCCACACCCCATGCTCTACCCTCTGAGAACTCTAACTGCCTGCCTTCCCCTGTGCACTCTCTGCCAAATCTCCTCCCCCAAAACTGCCAGCAACCAAATTCACAGGTGGCTGGCCAGTTCCCTTTGTGTGAGTTTGCAGCGGGGGAGGGTGCTATCGGGGTAGCCATTCCTTTTTCACTCTCTGATCTTTCTCAAATCGAAAAACGCCTCGGCTCTTTCTCTTCAGACCCTCTTAACCAGCAGCCACCTTCTCCCCAGTCCCTGAGAGCCCAAATCTTGAGAATGTGAGCTCCAAAACAGCCTTTCCCATCTAACACTCATTCTCGGGTCACCCAAAGACTGCTTTCCTCAACAGCCTTTTCTGTTCCCGCGTCCATTCTACCCCTGAGGGTGGCAGCAGGAACTGAGGGCATAGTCTGAGTCCACACCCCATTCTCTATGTCCAGCCTCACAGATTGAGAGGCATCTCAGGTTTCTTTTTCCACTGACCTGACCACCTTTACTCCCCCGACATATGCCACAAACTTTAAAAAAATAGACACAGGTCCACAAACCCCTCAAAAAGACCTCGTTAACCTGACCTTTAAGGTCTTTAATAATAGAGACCCAAATCCAAAAACAAAGGCGAGATCAGGCCAAGGCTGAGCCCAGTAGGAGGCCTTCCAGCTCCCAGCCACCACTCTCATGAACCCCAAACTGTTGGAAGCCAATCCACCCTGGCTGCTTGAGGCAGTCCCTGCAGGGATGTTTCAAGGAACCTTTGAATGGAGATGGGAACCCCCCTGGCCTTTTGTATGGAATGGATAGGATTGGGACCAAATAGTATAAATACAGATGTTAGATGACAATAAAAAGAGGAACCTGGCTATGATGATCACCTGAACACTGCCTCGGTGTCATTCATTCTTCGCCGACTCCGTCCACACCTTTGGGAACCCCTACCCGCTGGGGCTGGACCCCAGCACCAAACCAAGTGCCAGTCCTCCAACCGCGGGTAAGTCAGGGGCTAAGGCTCCTCCGGGCCCATGCTTCAAATACAGTAAGGAAGGACACTGAGCCAAGTCTTGCTCAAACCCGAGACCCCCGCCTGGGCCCTGCCCAAGGTGCGGAGGGAAGGCCACTGGAAATCAGACTGTAGTCTGGCCCTCCGGTTCAGGCCTCAGCCAGTCCAGCATGGCCGCCCTCTGGATCTGGTTTGGAGCTTCCAGACCTCCTGGGACTGGCCACCGAAGAAGCTGCCCAGGCCCTGACAGGGCCCCACAGACTTACACCACCAGGACAGAGCCTCAGGTAACAACTGTGGTGGCAGGTAAGCCGATCTCCTTTTTAATTGGCACTGGAGCCACTTATTCTGCCCTCTCCGAATTCGCTAGGACCCTTGTCCACTCCTCAGTCTCTATTATGGGGGTTGACAGATTAGTCTCACAACCATTAGCCTCCTCACCTCTACACTGCATCTTACTAAATTTCCCCATTCACTCTCTTCTCATTCTACATTGGTGCTTGGCCAGGGCTACCATGTATCCTCTCATAAAGCCCAGTTGTCCCAAACCACAGTCACCTACCTCAGTTTCACTCTCTCACCCCACAGGGCCAAGCCATTCCTGGGACTGTAAAGGCCTTATCTCCTTATCTCCTCTATGACTGTCCCCTCCTCTGAACAAGAAATTTTCTCCTTTCTCAGGCTCACTGGGTACTCTTGCCTCTGGGTTCACAACTTTAGTCTTCTTGCAAAGCTCCTCTATGACATGACATGGTGAAGGGACCCCCTCACTAGGCCTTCAGATCCCAAGGCCAACATTCTCACCCCTTTAATGCTCTGAAAACTGCTCTGACCTCAGCGTCTTCTCACATCACCCCTCTCCCCCACTCCACCCGCCCTGTCCCAGGACTACATGCTGACAGGCCGTTCCTCCCTTGTCCTGTATTGGCCCCTCTTGCCCTTGTGTCAAGAGGGACCCTCTTCTCACTATCCAATTGCCCACAGCTGTTGCCTAAGTTCTCTGTTAATGTTGAAGTCATGGTGGCTGGTACCATGGATCTGTCTCTCGCCCAATGGCGTGAACTGGGCCCTCTCTGGAGAAGAAACGTGGGTTCCCCAAGATATGTGATCAATGCCGGGACCCCGCCAGCAGGCGAGGGGATCCCAAGGCAGTTGCTGGGCATGGAGGCCACAGGGGCATAGGCTACCAAGGAGACAGAACTGAACCTCACATCACCCTACTTGGCCCAGAGATGGCTGGTAGTCAACGACGGGTAAGACCCCACAGGGTGGGGCAACCTAAGACAGGCACAGCCGGGGGCCAGTAGGAGAGAACTTGGGGTTCAACAGAGGTGGGGCACAGATCCTCACCCCCCC